CTGACTGGGTGTTGTTGTTGTTATACTGACTGGGTGTTGTTGTTATACTGTCTGGGTGTTGTTGTTATACTGACTGGGTGTTATTGTTATACTGACTGGGTGTTGTTGTTGTTATACTGACTGGGTGTTATTGTTATACTGTCTGGGTGTTGTTGTTATACTGACTGGGTGTTATTGTTATACTGACTGGGTGTTGTTATTATACTGACTGGGTGTTGTTGTTATACTGACTGGGTGTTGTTGTTATACTGGCTGGGTGTTGTTGTTATACTGAATGGGTGTTGTTGTTATACTGACTGGGTGTTGTTGTTATACTGGCTGGGTGTTGTTGTTATACTAAACTGGGTGTTGTTGTTATACTGACTGGGTGTTGTTGTTATACTGACTGGGTGTTGTTGTTATACTGACTGGGTGTTGTTGTTGTTATACTGACTGGGTGTTATTGTTATACTGTCTGGGTGTTGTTGTTATACTGACTGGGTGTTATTGTTATACTGACTGGTGTTATTATACTGACTGGGTGTTGTTGTTATACTGACTGGGTGTTGTTGTTATACTGGCTGGGTGTTGTTGTTATACTGAATGGGTGTTGTTGTTATACTGACTGGGTGTTGTTGTTATACTGACTGGGTGTTGCTGTTATACTGACTGCATGTTGTTGTTGTTATACTGACTGGGTGTTGTTGTTATACTGACTGGTGTTGTTATACTGACTGGGTGTTGTTGTTATACTGACTGGGTGTTGTTATTGTTATACTGACTGGTGTTATTGTTATACTGACTGGGTGTTGTTGTTATACTGACTGGGTGTTGTTGTTGTTATACTGACTGGGTGTTGTTGTTATACTGAATGGGTGTTGTTGTTATACTGACTGGGTGTTGTTGTTATACTGACTGGGTGTTGCTGTTATACTGACTGCATGTTGTTGTTGTTATACTGACTGGGTGTTGTTGTTATACTGACTGGGTGTTGTTGTTATACTGACTGGGTGTTGTTATACTGACTGGGTGTTATTGTGATACTGGGTGTTATTGTTGTTATACTGACTGGGTGTTGTTATTATACTGACTGGGTGTTGTTATACTGACTGGGTGTTGTTGTTATACTGACTGGGTGTTATTGTTATACTGTCTGGGTGTTGTTGTTATACTGACTGGGTGTTGTTATTATACTGACTGGGTGTTGTTGTTATACTGACTGGGTGTTGTTGTTATACTGACTGGGTGTTATTGTTATACTGTCTGGGTGTAGTTGTTATACTGAATGGGTGTTGTTGTTATACTGAATGGGTGTTGTTGTTATACTGTCTGGGTGTTGTTGTTATACTGACTGGGTGTTGTTGTTATTCTGAATGGGTGTTGTTGTTATACTGTCTGGGTGTAGTTGTTATACTGACTGGGTGTTGTTGTTATACTAACTGGGTGTTGTTATACTGACTGGGTGTTGTTATACTGACTGGTGTTGTTATACTGGCTGGGTGTTGTTGTTATACTGAATGGGTGTTGTTGTTATACTGTCTGGGTGTTGTTGTTATACTGACTGGGTGTTGTTATACTGGCTGGGTGTTGTTGTTATACTGAATGGGTGTTGTTGTTATACTGTCTGGGTGTTGTTGTTATACTGACTGGGTGTTGTTATACTGGCTGGGTGTTGTTGTTATACTGAATGGGTGTTGTTGTTATACTGACTGGGTGTTGTTGTTATACTGTCTGGGTGTTGTTGTTATACTGAATGGGTGTTGTTGTTATACTGTCTGGGTGTTGTTATACTGACTGGGTGTTGTTGTTATACTAACTGGGGTGTTGTTATACTGACTGGGTGTTGTTATACTGACTGGGTGTTGTTATACTGGCTGGGTGTTGTTGTTATACTGAATGGGTGTTGTTGTTATACTGTCTGGGTGTTGTTGTTATACTGACTGGGTGTTGTTATACTGGCTGGGTGTTGTTGTTATACTGAATGGGTGTTGTTGTTATACTGTCTGGGTGTTGTTGTTATACTGACTGGGTGTTGTTATACTGACTGGGTGTTGTTATACTGGCTGGGTGTTGTTGTTATACTGACTGGGTGTTGTTGTTATACTGTCTGGGTGTTGTTGTTATACTGAATGGGTGTTGTTATACTGTCTGGGTGTAGTTGTTATACTGACTGGGTGTTGTTGTTATACTAACTGGGGTGTTGTTATACTGACTGGGTGTTGTTATACTGACTGGGTGTTGTTATACTGGCTGGGTGTTGTTGTTATACTGAATGGGTGTTGTTGTTATATTGACTGGGTGTTGTTATACTGACTGGGTTTGTTATACTGGCTGGGTGTTGTTGTTATACTGAATGGGTGTTGTTGTTATACTGTCTGGGTGTAGTTGTTATACTGACTGGGTGTTGTTGTTATACTAACTGGGGTGTTGTTATACTGACTGGGTGTTATACTGGCTGGGTGTTGTTGTTATACTGAATGGGTGTTGTTGTTATACTGTCTGGGTGTTGTTGTTATACTGACTGGGTGTTGTTGTTATATTGACTGGGTGTTGTTATACTGACTGGGTGTTGTTATACTGGCTGGGTGTTGTTGTTATACTGAATGGGTGTTGTTGTTATACTGTCTGGGTGTTGTTGTTATACTGACTGGGTGTTGTTGTTATATTGACTGGGTGTTGTTGTTATACTGTCTGGGTGTTGTTGTTATACTGTCTGGGTGTTGTTGTTATACTGACTGGGTGTTGTTGTTATATTGACTGGGTGTTGTTATACTGACTGGGTGTTGTTATACTGGCTGGGTGTTGTTGTTATACTGAATGGGTGTTGTTGTTATACTGACTGGGTGTTGTTGTTATATTGACTGGGTGTTGTTGTTATATTGACTGGGTGTTGTTATACTGACTGGGTGTTGTTATACTGGCTGGGTGTTGTTGTTATACTGAATGGGTGTTGTTGTTATACTGTCTGGGTGTTGTTGTTATACTGACTGGGGTGTTTGTTATATTGACTGGGTGTTGTTATACTGACTGGGTGTTGTTATACTGGCTGGGTGTTGTTGTTATACTGAATGGGTGTTGTTGTTATACTGTCTGGGTGTTGTTGTTATACTGACTGGGTGTTGTTATACTGGCTGGGTGTTGTTGTTATACTGAATGGGTGTTGTTGTTATACTGACTGGGTGTTGTTATACTGACTGGGTGTTGTTGTTATACTGACTGGGTGTTGTTGTTATAATGTAATATTCATCATCATTAACTATTATAAAATATGTCCAGGCATCCAATAATAAACTGTAACAATGATCACTGGTACACTACTACTACTGCTTTGCTGTCACTCGGAATCGAGTATGACGATCATCCAGCTATGATACAATGATACAAGTTATTAAAAGATGTCACCTTCGTTGGTGAGCTCTGAGGTGACTAAAGAGGCCAATACGGGGCCGGCAGAGTTGTTTACTGATGTTGCACATGTGGAGGGCTACATCTAGTGCGGAGGGCGGTGGCAGCGTCTTTCCGGTGTTGGCGCTTGTCTGCCTCGGTTTGTAGTCGGGCTAACTCGGAAATATTGACACCTTCTCGTGTGGTGTTCCTCCAAGCGTTACGGTGTGGAGTAATCGTCTCCCCGGTGAGGGGTCGATTTGGCACCTTTCAGGTTTGTCTTAAGACTATCCTTATACCTTTTCAGTTTCCCCAGTGTTACGTTTACTATTCGTTAGGTGACTGTAAAGTAGCTACTTTGGCAGTCTACTGTCGTCCATGCGGGTAACATGGCCAGTCCAGCGTAGTTGTTCATGGATAATGGTAGCCTCGTTGCTCCTACAGTTGGTGTCAGCAAGAATACTGGCATTTGTTCTTTTGTCTTCCCAGTGAACTCGGAGGATGGAACGTAGACTACGTTGGTGAAAGTTTTCAGTGCCTTCAGGTGCCCTGTGCGTGACCCATGTCTCACTGCCATATACCAGGGTTGGGGAGGACCACTGCTCTATATACGTGCAACTTTAGATATTCTCAGCTCTACAACTCATATATCAAGAGTCTTCAATGTATTCATTACTTGAAGTTCCGTATAATAGTAAATATATATATATATATATATAATATATATATATATATATATATATATATATATATATATATATATATATATATATATATATATATATATATATATAGGAGGTGAGATCAGGTCCACAATGGTCAGGTATTAGGTAATGACCCACTAACCTTCAAAAACACCGCAGCAGTAAGAAGTAGTTATCATATATATATATATATATATATATATATATATATATATATATATATATATATATATATATATATATATATATATATATATATATATATATTGGAAATAACATTGTTCCATACGTATCACATCTTAGACACACTGAAACACTAACGGATGGATTGGTGGAGCGCGAGCGCCGCACACACAAGCACACGCACACACACACACACACACACACACACACACACACACACACACACACACAAGAAACTGGTAACAATGACACCAGTGACAGAAGGTAGGCAGTAACAGAGACACACAAGCAGAGGACGGGGAGGGGGGAGGGGCAACAGGGACCGGACACCTCCCTACAGCAACACAAGTAGACAACCGTGCACGATATAGGCAACATATGCAACAAACTACAGAACCAAATTGAATATCGTAAATTAAGAAGACTGCAACATGTCGCTTGAGGAGAGAGTGAACAGCAACACCGAGACAATGGTGCGGATATAAGTCAACCAGAACCAGACACAATGATTGATAACGAAAGAGATGCAAGGAGGAGGAGGAGGAAGAGGAGGAAAAGAAGAGGAGGAGGAATAGGATGAAGAAGAGGAAGAGGAGGAACAGGAGTAACAAAAGAAATATGAGGAAGAAGAAGGAAAAACACGATAATTAGGACGTAAATATGGACACAAAGAAGAGAAGGAAGAAAAATAGCAATTAAGGAAGTGAAAAATAAGGACACAGCATTTGAGAGAGTCTTGCTTGTGAGAAGAGACCTCGGGACAACCGATCCCAGTTACCCTCGAGGACGACCGGTCCAGTACCACTCGAGCGAGCGGTCCGGTATACCACCTCGAGGACAAGCGGTCACCAGTACCACCTCGAGGACAGCCGGTCACCAGTACCACCTCGAGGACGACCGGTCACCAGTACCACCTCGAGGACACACGGTCCCAGTACCGCCTCGAGGACGACCGGTCACCAGTACCACCTCGAGGACAGCCGGTCACCAGTACCACCTCGAGGGCACACGGTCACCAGTACCACCGGGACGACCGATCACCAGTACCACCCGAGGACGACCGGTCGCCTGAGGACGACCGGTCACCAGTACCACCTGGGACGACCGGTCACCAGTACCACCTCGAGGACGACCGGTCACCAGTACCACCTCGAGGACAGCCGGTCACCGTCCACCTCGGGACCACGATCACCAGTACCACCTCGGGACGACCGGTCACAGTCTCGAGGACGAGCGGTCACCAGTACCACCTGAGGACGAGCGGTCACCAGTACCACCTCGAGGACAGCCGGTCACCAGTACCACCTCGAGGACGACCGGTTACCAGTACCACCTCGAGGACACGGTCACCAGTACGCCTCGAGGACGACCGGTCACCAGTACCACCGGAGGACAGCCGGTCACCAGTACCACCTCGAGGGCACACGGTCACCAGTACCACCTCGAGGACGACCGATCACCAGTACCACCTCGAGGACGACCGGTCACCAGTACCACCTCGAGGACGACCGGTCACCAGTACCACCTAGAGGACGACCGGTCACCAGTACCACCTCGAGGACGACCGGTCACCAGTACCACCTCGAGAACAGCCGGTCACCAGTACCACCTCGAGGACACACGATCACCAGTACCACTTCGAGGACGACCGGTCACCAGTACCACCTCGAAAACAGCCGGTCACCAGTACCACCTCGAGGACGACCGCTCACCAGTACCACCTCGAGGACAACCGGTCACCAGTACCACCTCGAGGACAGCCGGTCACCAGTACCACCTCGAAGACGACCGGTCACCAGTACCACCTCGAGGACAACCGGTCACCAGTACCACCGAGGACAGCCGGTCACCAGTACCACCTCGAGGACGACCAGTCACCAGTACCCCCTCGAGGACGACCAGTCACCAGTACCACCTCGAGGACGACCGGTCACCAGTACCACCTCGAGGACGACCGGTAACCAGTACCACTCGAGGACGACCGGTCACCAGTACCACCACGAGGACGACCGGTCACCAGTACCACCACGAGGACGACCAGTCACCAGTACCACCTCGAGGACGACCGGTCACCAGTACCACCGAGGACGACCGGTAACCAGTACCACCTCGAGGACGACCGGTAATCAGTACCACCTCGAGGACGACCGGTCACCAGTACCACCTCGAGGACGACCGGTCACCAGGACCACTAGAGGACGACCGGTCACCAGTACCACCGAGGACGACCGGTCACCAGTACCACCTCGAGGACACACGATCACCAGTACCACCTCGAGGACACCGGTCACCAGTACCACCTCGAGAACAGCCGGTCACCAGTACCACCTCGAGGACGACCGCTCACCAGTACCACCCGGAGGACAACCGGTCACCAGTACCACCTCGAGGACAGCCGGTCACCAGTACCACCTCGAGGACGACCGGTCACCAGTACCACCTCGAGGACAACCGGTCACCAGTACCACCTCGAGGACAGCCGGTCACCAGTACCACCTCGGGGCGACGGTCACCATTACCACCACGGACGACCGGTCACCAGTACCACCACGAGGACGACCAGTCACCAATGCACCTCGAGGACGACCGGTCACCAGTACCACCTCGAGGACGACCGATAACCAGTACCCACCTCGAGGACGACCGGTCACAAGTACCTCGAGGACCTGCGGTCACCAAGTACCGCCCTCGAGGACACACGGTCACCAGTACCACCTCGAGGACAACCGGTCACCAGTACCACCTCGAGGACACACGGTCACCAGTACCACCTCGAGGACACACGGTCACCAGTACCACCACGAGGACAGCTGGGTTGAGGTTACTTTACCTTGCATCACTCACACAACTATTGCACGCAGGGCCTACGACACACGCAAACTGTCTCCTTGCACGCTAAATATGTCGCAATGCTGCTCTAGATAATGTATCGCACGCAAGACTGTTTCCCTGCACGCTCTCTCTCTCTCTCTCTCTCTCTCTCTCTCTCTCTCTCTCTCTCTCTCTCTCTCTCTCTCTCTCTCTCTCTCTGTGTTCAACTCGTCGACAACCGCAAGTAACGTATCTTTGCAAGCAACACCTTTCGTAAAATGATGCTCTGGTATACGACTAACACGCAGAACCTCTCTCAATGTTCTGCAGGTTAAGATACGCACGCAAACTTCATCTCTCTCTCTCTCTCTCTCTCTCTCTCTCTCTCTCTCTCTTTGTCTTTGTATGTTTGTGTGTACGTGTGTGTATGTGAAAAACACGTACATGGTGAGCGTGTGTGTGTGTGTGTGTGTGTGTGTGTGTGTGTGTGTGTGTGTGTGTGTGTGTGTGTGTGTGTACGTGCGCGCGTGTTTGTGTACGTGCGCGCGTGTGTGTATATGTATGTATGTATGTATGTGTGTGTGTGTGTACTATATGTATGTGTGTGCGTGTGTGCGTATGTATGTGTATGTATGTATGTATGTATGTATGTGTGTATGTATGTGTGTATGTATGTATGTATGTATGCATGTATGTATGTATGTGTGTGTATGTATGTATGTATGTATGTATGTATGTATGCGTGTGTGTGTGTGTGTGTGTGTGCGCAGGTTTAAATGGCCGGCACAGTAGGTAGGTCGGGCAGGGAGAGGGCAGGGGAGAGGGGCCAGGTATGCAGAGATGAAAGGTGAGTATGGAGAGGAACGAGTGAGAGGGGTGAGGGGGCAGGTAAGAGAGCACAGTAGGGGGTGCACAAAGGGCCCTAGGGTGCACAATAGAGACTAACTGCGTGCACAATACCCCCTTAGGAGTTTGCCCTCACTGCCCGCTGGTATTGCTTCCGTCACTACACAACCTACCGTCTGTGGTGCTGCACGAACTCTCTCTCACACACACCCACGAACCTCTCTACAAATGACGTTACGATATAGAACTATTCTTTTAAACATTAAAACACTTGAATGACAGACCGGACATTCATAATCGCCGGAAGATGACCAAACTGGGAGAGGGGGCAAAGAGAAGCAGTGTGTGTAATTGCACTTTTAGGAATCTAAGACTGTCACCCCATTCTGTTCAGTATGTCAGCTGAACGCTTCCCCTCACCCCACACACTCCTCCCTCACCCTTACCACACCTCCCTCACCTCCTCACCACCTCCCCTCACCTCCCCACCACCTCACCTCACCTCACCTTCCCCCACCTCCCACCTCACCTTCCCCACCTCCTCACCACCTCCCCCTCACCCCCTCACCACCTCCCTCACCCCTCACCACCTCCCCACCTCCTCACCATCTCCTCACTCTTCACCTCCCTCATCTCACTCACTCCCCCACCTCACACCACCTCCCTCACCTCCTCACTCACCTCCCTCACCCCCTCACCACCTCCTCACTACCTTCCCCACCACTACCTTTCCTCACCCCCTCACTACTTCCTCACCTCACTACCTTCCTCACCTCTCACTACTCCCAAGACGTAGAGTCAACAAAACACTGATGACTGGTGTGAAAGCAGGACAGAGCAGGACACGGGAGGGACAGAGCAGGACACGGGAGGCAGGACAGAGCAGGGACACGGGAGGCAGGACAGAGCAGGACACGGGAGGCAGGGACAGAGCAGGACACGGGAGGCAGGACAGGATGAGGACACGGGAGGCAGGGACAGAGCAGCACACGGGAGGCAGGGACAGAGCAGGACACGGGAGGCAGGGATGATGAGGACACGGGAGGCAGGACAGAGCAGCACACGGGAGGCAGGACAGAGCAGGACACGGGAGGCAGGGACAGAGCAGCACACACGGGAGGCAGGACAGGGGGGAAGTCTACCAGTGATCAGTGTAGTAAGGATGGATGGAGGGAGGAGGGCCATTAGCTTCCTTTCATCACCGTCTACCACCATCACAATGACGCCCAAGGCAAAAAAACCTCACACCAACTGGACTCTACCTGGCCACCAAGCTACTAGGGACCAGAGACACCCACAAAGACTTCCTGGGGACGAGACCAGGTGAAAACTATGGCTCTCCTCCTTGAGTGTTTCCTGGCTACCTCCTTGTTCTTCTACAACAACCACGACAACAGAGAGGTGAAGACCACAAGCAAGAAATAGACGTTACGTGTTATGTTGAAGGCAGAAGAGGAGAGCAGAGACACTACACAACACAACACAACACAAGGACAACACTAAGACAACACAACCCAACACAAAGACAACACTAAACAAGACAACACAACACTAAGACAACATAACACAACACTAAGACAACACTAAGACAACACTGAGACAACATTAACACAACACTGAGACAACATTAACAAAACACTGAGACAACACACCACAACACTGAAACAACATTAACACAACACTGAGACAACATTAACACAACACTAATGCAAAACATTGTAAAATTGTAAAGATAATTTAATCCCTCATATCTACTCTTTCTTTGTGTGTGTGTGTGTGTGTGTGTGTGTGTGTGTGTGTGTGTGTGTGTGTGTGCTCACTCTCACACACCTCACTCTTTCTCTCAGTACTCTATAACACACTCCCCTCCCCACCACCACACACCTCCCTCACCACCACACACCCCTCCCTCACCACCACACACCCTCCCTCTCCCCACCACCACACCTCCCTCCTCACCACCACCACACACCCCTCTCACCACCACACACCCTCCCTCCTCACCACCACCACACTCCCTCCCTCCCCACCACACACACACCCTCTCTCACCACCACCACACACTCCTCCCACCACCACACACCCTCCCTCTCACCACCACCACACACCTCTCCCTCTCCTCACCACCACACACCTCCCTCACCACACACACTCCCTCCCTCTCACCACCACACGCTCCTCCTCTCACCACCACACACTCCTCCTCTCACCACCACACTCCTCTCTCACCAACCAACACACCCTCCTCTCACCATCACACACTCCCTCCCTCTCACCACCACACACCCTCCCTCTCACCACCACACTCCCTCTCTCTCACCACCACACACTCCTCCCTCTCACTCAACACTCCTCCCTCCCTACCTCACCACACACTCCCTCCTCTCACCACCACATCCTATTTAGTCCCGCAGAATACACTGAGAGAGAGAGGAGAGAGAGAGAGAGAGAGAGAGAGAGATTAAACCAAACTCAACATCTGGCTCAGTCATGGTGATGCTGACTTCACCCTAATAACTTCTCATCAGTTGTATATTAATAATAAAAGTCCCTTAAATACATTATATATCAATAGGGAAAATAATATAAATGCTCTAATTATTATTTCCGCTAGAGTAAAGTCACTCAAAAAAAAAATATATACAAAATTGTGTTGAAAAAATATGACACAATGGACGAAGGATTTTGACAACCCCACCGAGACAACAGGAGTCACAGTGTTCATTGAGGCATCCATCGATCACCCCGAGTAGAGACAGTTTTTGGGACCAACATTACACCTCCTGCACTAACCCTCTTGTGTACCCTCGAGTACGGTGACTATTGTACTGATGTTTGTCCAGGCACACAACCTTCACCTCTTCTTTTACTCTTCCTCTTCCTCCTTCTTCTTCTTCTCCATCCACCTCCTCCTCCTGCCCTCCAACTCCCCCTTTCACCCTCCCACTGACCTCCTCCTCCTCCTCTTGTGTTAAAGTTCTCATTCACTATTTTACACGTCGTCTGCTCCTTCTTCCTGCCCTTTCTTCTCCCCCTCCTCTTTGTGTCTCCTTCTGTACTCTCTCTCTCCCTTTATCGCCCTCTCTCTCTCTCCTTCCCCTCTCACTTTATTTTTCCTCTCCGGAGTTTGCTTTTATGTTTCCCGTCACCCCACCAGCCTCCAGCCTCATCCACTCACCACTCCAGCCTCTCATCCACCTCCACTACCTCCAGCCTCATCCACCTCCACTCACCTCCAGCCTCATCCACCTCCCACTCTCCAGCCTCTCATCCACCTCCACTCACCTCCAGCCTTCTCATCCACCTCCACTACCTCCAGCCTCATCTCACCTCCACCACTCCAGCCCCTCATCCACCCACCACCTCCAGCCTCTCATCCACCTCCACCACCTCCAGCCTCCCCATCCACCTCCACTCACCTCCAGCCCTCCTCATCCACCTCCACCACCTCCAGCCTCTCATCCACACCTCCTCCCCTCACCTCCAGCCTCTCATCCACCTCCACTACCTCCAGCCTCATCCACCTCCACTCACCTCCAGCCTCATCCACCTCCACTACCTCCAGCCTCTCCACTCACTTCACTTCGCCCACTGGAGTGCTCCTCACCACTCACTCAGTGAGGGGAGGGAGACACCACTACACTTACTACCACAGGCTAAACTTCCGCTGGTCAAAGGTGTCAATGGAAGTGAGTGGTGGTGGGGTGGTGGTGGGTGGGGTATGGGGTAGTGTGGGTGTGGTGGGTGTGGTGGGTGTGGGTGGGGGAGTGTGGTGGTGGGTGGGTGGGTGGTGGGGTGGTGGGGGGTGGTGAGTGTGGTGGGGAGTGTGGTGGGTGTGGTGGGAGCATGGGGAGTGTGGTGGTGGCGTGGTGGTGGTGGCGTGGTGGTGAGTGGTAACAAGGCTGGGTCCCAGGGACACTTGTGTATTATTCTGGGTGTGGGCGGGGGGAGGGACGGAGGAGAAACGTCAAGGTTGAGGTTGTCAAAGATCTGTGGCTGTGTGTGTGTGTGTGTGTGTTGATCACGTTCTCTGTAAGGTGGGTCTCCACAAGTTCTGTTGTTAAAAACAATAACTGCAAGAGTCTCCCAGAAGGTGTCCAGTCATTACACCTTAAGATTAACAAACCTAACCTAACCTAACTCTAACCTAACCTAACCTAACCTAACTCCCTGTAGCTAGGGTGTTAATCATCAGGTGACCCATATTTTGTCATCCTCAGTAGGGTTGAGAAGAAGAAGCTGCCAATGTTATGAACAATATAAAACTA